TTGAGAAAAAATTTATATTTTTTTTATTTTGGTTATAGACCAAATAAATTTAAATTGTGCAACATTTTGAATATGAAAAATAACGGTTAATATAATAAATAAATAAAAACATACTTACTATTCAAACCAGGCAATAAAAAAAGTTTGTGTTTATTTATTTGTTTTTTTTTTTTACACATATATTTATTTTTATTTTTTAATATTTTTTTATTCGGTAATATAATTTGCTCAATAATGCATTAATATATATAATATATATAGTTGAATGTATATTTGTTTAATTCAAATAAATATCTACTTGACCATATATACGTATGGTCCATTTGCTGTATATATTTTATTTATATATATTTTTATATTAATATTTATTATTTATAATTTTATTAATATTATATTATTTTCATTATTATTTTATTTACTTTAATTTATTTTAAATTGTGGTTTTTATTTCATTTTCATTATTTGTATGTTGTTGTTGTGTATTTTTGTTTTGTATTGTGCATATGTATATTGTATAAGTATTGTTGTAGTTGTTAGGTATAAATTCCATTAATATTTTCTTGTTTTCTTTTTAACATTTGTATATTATTTACATATTACACATGACAACTAATTTGTTTTTTTGTTTTTTAATTTCCGTTTTGAAATAATTTGATTATTTTTTCTTAAATTTAGAAATTCTATTTTTTTTTATTTTTTTTTTTAGTTTTCAACTTTGTTTAATTTGCATTTTGCTTATTCATGTTCGTTTGTTATCACTTAAATATTTAACACATACACGTTTAAGTGTACATATACATACATATGTACGTTTATTTGTATTTTATCTTATTTTTAACTTTTTTGTAAAAATGTTAAATGTTAAACATTGGATTATGCAAAAATTTGAAATTATTTTTCTGTTCTGCTTAAATGATGTACACTACATATGTAAGTAGGTAAATTGTTCTTGTCTGTGTGTGTGTCAGTGTGCTTACGATTGTTTTTTGTTGCGCTCATGGTAGGAAACTATTTCTTGCTTGTTGTTGTTGTTTGTTTGCTATATTATTTTATAATGTAAAATTAAGAAAAAATTTTGTATATATATATACGTACGTATATGTACGTTCGTTATGAAATTCGCTTACATTGTTTTCGTCTATTTAACTTTTTTTATCGTTCGAAAATTATATTATTTTTTGATATTACGTGTGTGTGCAATGGATTATAATAGTTACAAATATACATACATACATATGTATGTAGTTTAAGTAGTTTTTAAGTGTTAGAAAATGCAATAAAGTTTGTGCTTTCTTTTTTTGTTTTTTATTTGTTTTTTTTTTTTTTTGAAAACTTAGTTTTCATTAGCAACATAAAAGTTGACACAGCGCGTGCGCGACAGCGCAGCGTTTGAAACCATGAAACCATAGCAGTTAAGCAGTTATTATATATATTTACATTTAAACAAATAATATTAAACATTTTCTTTTGTTTTATAAAATTGCAAATTTAATTTTTAGAATAAAGAAAGAAGTTGAGAAGCGGTGGCCCCTTACATTTACAACAATAATGACATTAAAAGAAAATTTATGTGGGAAATTAAAATTTATCAATTTCAAAAAACAAATTTAATTTATAAATAATTTAATTCTAAAAATAATTTTTTTAAATTTTCCATTTTTTCTTTCAATTAAAAGGCAAATCAAAGTTTTAAAATATAAGAAAATTCAATTTTTTATTTTATAACGTACAAGTACACACAAATAGATGTATTACATGCGGCTGGTAGGCGCTTAAGCTTAGCTTAACTGTATCATACTTCAAGTATGAAGAATTAAGTTTATATATTATATGTATACACATATATATACATATAATATTTTTTTTTTTACTAATTAAATATTTTATATTTACTTTACTCCTTAAATTTATTTATTTTTTATTTAATTTATACTTTTATGTATACGCATGTATGTAGTTATGTATGTATGTAAATATAAGTTAGTTATTTTAACATTTTCATTAAGTTCTTTAATTGAACAATATAAAAATACAAAAAAGCCTTGGGAAAGTGTGTGTGCTCTCAAGATTAAATTCATAAATGTATGTATGTATACGTGTATAAAGTACTGCTTTGCAAATGTAAATATTATAAAAAAAATTTGTTATACATACATCTGTTATATATATGTATATATATAGCTGTATATGAAAATTTGTATTTTTAAATAAACATTTGATTTTCGTTAAACTTCTTTAACATGTACGTTTACATACATACAAACAAACTTGTAGCTGTGTATGTACGTTTGTATTTTGTGTTAAAACATTTAATGTGCATTTTTTTAATCCTAACTAAATATATGTACATACATTTTTCAATACATAAACGTTATTTTCAATTTTTTTTGTTCATTAATTTAAGGCAATATTTATTTAATATATATGTATGTATTTAAGCATATTTAACATGCGACATAAAAATTCAAAAATAGTGTAAAAATAATATATAGCAGTTATTTTTAGAAAATTTTATTAATAAAATAAACATAAATATTTTGAGCGAATTCATTTGTTCAGAAAAAATAAAATAATAAAAAATAAATACAGAATTAAAGTTAAATAAAGCAATCAATTAAAGCAAAGAAAAAGTAAAAATAAAAATATAATATATAAATTAAAAAATTAATAAGAAAAAAGAAATATAAAAAAGGTAAAAAATTAAAATACAATAAAATAATATAAAATAAAATAAATTAAAATAAGCTAGAATAAAAAAATAAATAAATTAAAATATAAAAAAATGTATATAATTAAAATAAATTGTTAAAAACTATAATCAAAATATTAAAAATAAATAAAATAAATTGAAAAAAAACAAATAAATAAAATAAGAAATTTGAAAAATAATGATAAAAATATATAAAAAATAAGGAATTAAAAGAAATTGTTATAAAATAAAAAATAAAAAAACTAAAATGAAATAAGTAAAAAAATAAACAAAATTAAATGTAAGCAAAATAAATAAATAAAATTAAATTAAAAAAAATTGTTTAAAAATATAATAAAAATATTAAAAAAAAAATAAAATAAATTAAATAAAAAAAATTTAAAAAAATGTTAAAGAAATAAATAAATAAAATAAAAAAATTCATAAATTGAAAAATAAAAATATATAAAAAATTAAATACTAAAGTTAAATTAATAAAAAATATATTGTAATATAAATAAATAATAAATAAAAAAGTAAAATAAATAAATTAAATAAAAAAATAATTAAAATAAAATATTAAAAAAAAATAAAGCAAAAAAATTTGAAAGAAACTAATAAAACAATATGAAAAATTAAATAAATAAAATAAATTGTTAAGAAATATAATAAAAAGAATTTAAAACATTAAGTAAAATAAATTCAATAGTAAAATAATTAAAATTAAATTTATTAAATAAAAAAATATACATAAAAAAATTTAAAAAAATTTAATAATAATAATAAAAAACTAATAAAAAAAAATTTAATAATTATAAGTATAGTATTCAAGAATTATTTAAATGTAATTCATTTTCTTTTCGCAGGCTTTACTTAGCGTTTACATAATTATTTACAAAAAAACAAGAAAAATAACGGTAAACACTTTTCGCATTGAGTTTTCAATATTGTCGCCAAGTGGCAGAATGTTTTGTGATTGAACTTGATACAACGTACATACAAATAAATGTATATATTTACTACAGTACTGTCATATACGTTCTTTGGTACATACATATACTCACATACATATATGTTCGTAAAGTAACGTAATAAATTATTCGTTTCGAAGTCGTTAATATAACGTTTGTTTGCATCAAGCCAAATTACGCTCAGTTTGAAATTCAAAAAAAAAAAAAAAAAGAAAAATAATAATATTCATTTGAAAAACAACCTAAGTCTCATTTAAACATGGAAAGCAAAGAGCAAACAAATAAGTTTATTCCACACAATATATGCATATGTTACAGCATTAGCAACTATTTTCTAAATATATAATTTTTCCCATAAAATACGCTTAGGTGCGTTTCAAAAGTGATTGTTTTATTTTTAAATATTTAATAGTTTCAGCAGTTTTTCAGTTGTTATTTTTGATTCAGTTCTTTCTACTTAGCGTCTATTATGTATAAAACAATGTATGTGCATATATCATACATATATTACGCCGGCGCCGAGGTTAAAGCTGCTAAAAAAACCCTATTTCATTTTCAAATTAGTGGAAAATTCATTTTTACTTAAAATTAAAAGTTTATACTTCAATGAAAAATAAATACCATTTGCAATAATTCGCCATAAATTTCAGAAAAATAAAATAATTTATGAAATTAAATGATAGAAAAATTTTGAAAACTAATACGAAAAGTGGAGTTTAGAGCCCTAACACCGACAGCGCCGAATTCATGTACGTGTATGTATCTATGTATGTATATTCCAATTTTTATGTGCACGACAAGTTTGAGTGCAGATTAAGTGCGTATTCTAGTTTGCATTTCTTTGCCCTTTTCATTTACTTTCCATGCAACAACAACAAACATATGTATATTAAATTCCTTTCATATACCTTTCAGCTTATAACTGTTTCGAATGCAATAATTTCCATAACTACATATATAAACATTTCATTATATTTTAAGTTCATAAAAATAAAAATAAAAAATTCATTTCACCTACAACTATTAACGTTAACAACTACATATGCATATACGAATATTTATGCAGGTCTGCTTTTCAAAACACTTAAAACTCCTTCAAACTGCCACCTCGTTTCAATTTGGCGAAACGCTTGAAACCCATACCACTGCTGCTCGCCAAAAACCCACCGCTCTCCTTACCGCGCACGCCGACGCACGCACTTGTTGTACTACTAAGCACTCCCAGTCCACTGCTACTGCTGCTATTGGTCGTACTGCCATTGTACATGCGTTCGCGCGACATGTAACTGCCGCGAAAGCGCACACGACCGCGACGCCCGATGCGTTGCAAGGGGCGCCACTCGAACTCCTATGATTATAATTTTTTCTCCCACACCACAATGTGCGCGTCGTTCGAGTTGGCGATGAGCGGTGTTGAGGCGCCACTGCTCAGCGTCGCCGTTTTGCTGCCCGGCGAATTGGCGTTGTTGTACCACACGTGACGCCAGTAGCCGCGACCACCCATTAGCGTGATAATGGTACGTGGTCCATCGGCGTTTTGTTGCTGTTGTTGTTTGTTCGTTTGTTTTTGCTTGCGTTTGAGTGTCGCCACCGCGGCGGCAGGTGGTGGTGTACTTGCGCCAGTTGCGTTCATACCACCGGTATTCTTGCTTGCTTGCTTCACGTCCAATAACTTGTAGCCATCATCTGATTTGGGTGTGCTGTGATGTTGATGTATTTCGGCGTTGGTCATCAGTCCATTTTCGGATATGTTACCCAGGTCACTGCCGTTGCCTGAGGTTTTGTGACTAGCGCTACTGCTGTTGCGCGATACAGAGCGACCGCCAAACAGGCGTATGCCCATGCTTTCCTCGCTGCCGGATGAGGTGTAGAGACTTGAGGATTTCGAGTCCACCGACCAGTTGGAGAGATCGAGTGAACGTGGACGTGATGCTTTCATGCGCAAGCGACGATCGAGCGTGCTCACCTTGCCGGGTATGGCAGCCAATTCGGGATCGGAACGACGCATGCCTTCGTACATCATGTCCATGAGATTACCCTGCGTGCCCTCCTCGGCATCGTAGTCTTCCTTAACGAATATCAATTTACCATACAGACCGTAGACGTCGCAGCAGCCATGTTCGCCGTGATTGAGTGTGCTCGTGTTTGAATGCATGCTGGTGTTGAAGCCGCGCGGCAGCGTCTTGGCCATGCGTGTGGAATCGGAGGAGAGATCGCGGAAACGCTTACGATGGAAAGCTGGTGAGTTGACCAAAGAAACACGTATTTTCGATAACGATTGATCAAATGAGTTTTGTTTATCCAGTTTTGAGCAACGTGGTGATGGCGCATTTGAGTCGCTATCCACACTTAGTTCGCGCAACATTGAAGCTGAGGGTGACGCCGTGCCCGAGAAGGAGGACTCGTCCTTTGGCAGGTCTCTTCGCAATATCACTGTCGACTCATCAAGGTCGGCTTCGGTGAGTTTCTTCGGGTCGGCATCGATTGCGGGCAATTGCAGATCATCACCCATACTAGGCACTGTTACGGTGGCCTCTGCACAAAATGCGACAGGCAGCGTTTGTGTTGGTGGTGGTTGTTTGTAGCTTGGGTAAACGCGAGGTATCAGCGGCAGTAGGAAGGTTATGGGTCCAAAGTGTGCGTGACATGACATATTGATGCCGCCGCTGATGATAGGTACACCCTCCAGGCGTGGCAGCGGTATAGTTACCGCTATGCCAACATTTGTGCCCACCCAAAGCAAACCCTTGCATGCCATGAGCGCAGTCACATAAATGGAACTGTTGTTGACTGCCTGTTCTTTCTTGCTATCGCTGCGCAATACACTCGAGGCAATATTTATATCCTGTAAATGCTTAAAGGTCTCTGTGTGATACAAACACAAAACAGTTGAATTCTTCAGTGAGATCCACAAACCAATGCCGGAGTGCGCCATTAAGTTGACCTGCTGATTGGCGCCATGTTGCACTTCAAAACTCTTCTGTATCTCACCATTCAGTGCGTTCAGTACGTAGACCCGATTCGCACACGACGCGTAAATATTCATATTTATTGGCAGCAGACTGGGCACTGGCAGACCGGACTCGCCGAGCAGTACTACCTGTGGATCTTTCAGCATCCACACGCCATCGTACGAACGACGATAAATGAGCATTATGGCATTTGAGAGCGCCACATAGACGACATCGAAGTGATAGAGTATACGTGTAACGGCGCCAGGTACGGTGCTGCAGCCCAACTGCTCCTCCTGTTCGGGGTTTTGTGCTGAATAAATTAATATCTTGCGACTATCTGTACCCATCCACACCAGATCGCCAAGCAGACTATTGTGATCGTCACGTTTCTTTGCGCTATCCAGTCCCTTAATGAACTCCATGGCAGTCACTTGTGTCTCAACCAAATCGAAAGAGCCCACATCACGCAGATTGCCAGCTTGCTGATGATGCTGTGACAGCACTGCTATGTGTGAGGAAGTGCCATCACTGGTGCATACCCACAGATAGTTTTGTTGTTTGTGCCGACGCCGTGCATTGCCGCTCAACTTTAGGTCATTGGCGATGGTATAGTAACATCCACAGCGCACCTGTAGGAGAGAAAAAGTTGAGTATACGAAAATATTTGTGTGTACTTTTAGTCGAAGTGAGACTCACCTCAGTTTGATGCTGTGATTTGTAGACCGGTATCGCCTTGACAAAAAGTGGCAACTTTGTTGATTGTCTCTGCATAACCTGTTGTTGTTGTTCGTAGCTGTTGCCCAGTGACTGGGGCTCCGTAGATGTTGATGTCTCCCAAGCTGGCGAATTATTTGGATCGAGCGCCAACTGAGCCAAACGTAACTCTGTAATCCATTCCTTCTTCACATTCGGTGTTTGAGTTTGGAATGTGTAGGTCTCCTCCTTGCCGGACTTGTTGCGCGCTATCAATTGTAGACAACATGAGTCCACCCAAGCCATTTCCTCATCTTTGCGTTGTATTGAGGCTTGTATGGCATTCAGTACATTGCGTGTGGTATTTGTGTTGAGCTCTTTATATGTACCCTTAAGTGTGCTTACGAGATCGTGTATACGTGAGATTACCTCATAGTCATACATGAGTGTGCTCATCTCCGAGCAGAGATTATCAGCGCCATTTGTGAGTTGTGCAGCTGGTGAGCTATCTAGAGAGTGTGCGCCATGTGCGTGAGTCGAATTGATGGGTAGTGTATTCGAGTGACTGTTATTGCAAGAGCTACTGTTGGATTTGAGACTTCCGCCGCGATTGAGACCTGGGGAACAGAGTTTTTAAGAAGTTAGTGAATATAGCACAACATGTGAGCGACACGTGGGGTTCAAATAGGGAGAACTTCAGAGTTATGCGAAAAACACATCATTAATAGGCAGATTTAAAGGAGAGTAAAAATTAGAAAAATAGTCAGAAACCTTCGCTTGCAGGGCATGCTGAACGAGGCACTAAACCCTCTCTTAACAGTCCGATAAATGAGCCTTCAAATGATTCTCAAATGGAATTGATCAAGCAAGTGGACAAATGTTACGAAAAATCTGGAGAAATTTCAGCAATACTTTTAGAAGAGTTTGAGCTGTATTCAATGGCCCGATTCCACTCCAAGGTATGATAGAATAAAAGTAACAGCGAATCAAACTCTGCCAAGAGTGTATTGCATATAAGAGTAGAAACTCAATTCCGATAACTGACAGGCAGCAACTGGAGCTGGCCTATAATGTCTATTGAATAGAAGACTGCACTGAGAGGCGTTGTAAGAAATGGATCTTTACTATCGATGTAGGCAAGAAAAGTTAATTGACTTTGACTCCAGTTTAAACTGAGCTAAATTGAATCCCAAGAGCCTTGAGACCAAGGTTATTTTATATCATTTACAGGTTGCACTTACCAGCCGTTAATATTCTCGACAGCGTTGCAGAAGTACTATTATCCACAATTTCCACATCCGTCACTGGATACATCCACTTGAAACTCAGCTTTTCCGTTGCGCCAAAATCATGTGACTGCTTTGGTGCGACCGAAACACAAATCACCTTATCATTGAGCAATAATAAACGTCGCTGTTTCGACTTCACAATAAGTCCAGCCTGATTGAATTCGACATGTGTGACATTGTCCTCGCGTAGCAGGTAACGCGCACGATTACCCTCTGTGGCGGTGAGTGAGCGCGCATTGAAAGTGCCAGTAATGTGACCCAACATCTCTTTGAAACCTTGATATTGTTCCGCTTCACGTTTACGTTCGTTCAACATTTCCGCAAGTAATTCCAATTGTGTTAGTGCCAATTGTAATGACATACGATCGTGATGGCCTTGTGGTGTATATTTGAGTATATCCTGTAGAAAGAGTATGAATTGTGGGAATCGTTGTACCGGTTTCACCATTAAACCGAAAAAAGATAGACGATCATGTGCGCTGATTTGTTTTACTTTAAAGAAATCGGCTAATGCGGATTTACGCTTCTCCTCCATTTTGGCGAGTTCCATGGCTGCTGAGAAATTATTTATAAAACCCGAATAGATTTCGAGTATGCGTGGCTTGCTGAAAGCATTCACGAAACAATCACCCAAACGCTCGTCACGATCCCAATTGCGTACGCATTCGGCGAGTGAAATGCGAAATAATTTGTGTGCTTGTAGAATGTCGGGCAGGCGATGAAAGAGTGTGGCTATCTTGGAGCTGCTCAATACAGGTGGGTTGCTCTCTTCGAGAGGTTTCTTATAATCCTGTTTAAGGGTAGACAGACAGACAGAGAGAGAGAGGGGAGAGTTTAGTAGGTTAATAATAAAAAACAAATACTTAATATCAATATTAAGAAGATATTGCTTATACTAACTGCGGGAGAGTTTTCATTTGAAATAAAATAATTTTGTATAAAAATTTGCTTTACGCTCAGCAAAAACTAATTAATTGTAAACTTTTCTGCCACAAAGTAATATGAAAAAAAAAAAAATTGGAATAGTTTGCGAATGTTTTCGACTTTTTTTTAATTATTATTATTATTACTTTTTTAAATCAAAACAAAATTATTGTTGTAAAAAAGTTAAGATAAATAAGTTTTTTGATTATTAAATATTTGTGAATAACTTGTTTACCCTTTAGATAATGGCAAAAATCTACAATTAATGAATTTGACTTTTTTTGGATTCACCCAACCCGAATGAGAATAAAATAAAAAAAAACAAAGAAAAATAAAAATAAAATATTTTTATAATTTGTTTATAAAAGAACTACAAAGCAAAAATGTTGACATAAAAAAAATGTATTTCTAGATTTTGTGAATAATGAAAAAAATAATGGATGTGACCTGTCTACATGTGTAGAAGTGAGGAACGTTTCTAACTGCCATTCTCCTGGAAGTCGCCAGAAACAATTCTTTAACATATGGTTCACGCATCGCACCATTTTCGGCCCTAGACTTGAGAGCATCTAACCAACATCCATTTGGAGACGAGCTAAAGTGAGAAGGCAAATTGTCCTTGGGCTGTGCGTAGTGTTTGGGACCCATCACATGAAAAATATACTTCAATAAAAAACAAGAAAATGCCTCGTATGAGAGATTAAATGTTTAAGGATAACGAATTTCCGGCTCCTTAATTGGTTGATGTCCTCGAAAGAATAAAAACTAACATCACTGGCGTCCAGGAAGTGTGCTGGGCGATACAAGGACGAAAACAAGTAGATTCTCCTGAAATTTACTAAGGCGGCATATAAAGGAACGCAAATTCGGGTTGGATTGGTGGTGAGGGAGAGACTCCGTCGCCGAGTATTGGCATTCACTCCGGTGAATGAACGTCACAATCGGCTTCAAAGCAAAATTTTTCAACACGTCCCGACGGAAGAAAAGAACGATGTGACCGAGAATTCCTTTCATGAGCGTAGTTTTGAGCGCTTTACACGCAAATATATGAAATTTTGTGCGTGGCTACTTTAATGTACGGGTGGGCAAAGAAGATATCTTCGGCGCAGCCTGAGGCTAATCGACTTCAAGTTACGTGGCTGTGACAGGATAGAAAATCACGCAATCAAATCGATGTAGTTGATCAAAAATATGATTCCAATGTTCTAGATCAGAGTACATTCCGAGGAGCTATATTCGACTCCGAACACTATCTAACGAAGACCTCTGTATATGCCTCTACAACCGCGCTGTTATTTCTGCCTTCTCCAAGTTCAACAAGAAAGTAAAGCGTATGGGTCTGGTAGTGAACGAGAACAAGACGAAATATCTCCCTGTCATCAAACAAACAGTCGGCACTTTTCACTTAACTACTGGCAGTCATAACTTTGAGGTCAAAGATAACTTTACCTATCTGAGTACAGTTTTAAAACCAATAATAATTTCAGTCATGAAATCCAACGCAGAATAGCACTTGCCAACAGGTGCTTTTTCGGTCAGTGTCAGCTATAAAACAGTGAAGTTCTCTCTCACTTGTAGAGTTTAGTCACTTATGATTCCTGTTCTACTATAAGGTGCGGAAGTGTGGACGATTTCGACATCCAATGAGATGACCATTTGAAAGGCGGAGACTTAGTTCAGCGAATCAAGAGATAACGGCTACTTTGTGAAGGTAAAGTCGTCCGTATAAATGAAAGTGCTCCAGCTGTGAAAGTATTCGATGCAGTTGGAAACAGAGGAAGAGAAAGGTCTCTACTCCGTTGGAAGGATCAGTTGGAGAGTGATCTGGCTTAACTTGGTATTTCCAGTTATCGTCAAACAGAGAAAATAATGGAGGAATGTGGCGCTATTGTTGGTTCGGCAATAAAAGAGAAGAATAATAATGAATATAAATAAAAATATTTCGTTAAAAAAACTGCTGGGCCAATCAATATTGTCAGTAACTTAAAAAAAATATATTTGCTTGTTTAGAAAAAATTATTGAACGATCAATCAGCTAATTGTATTCCAACTAATCAGCACGTAATTCAATTAATGATTAATCGCACAAGAAGAAATATTTAAAAAATAAAATTAAAGAATAATAATAATTTTTAATTCTTTAAGCAATTAATAATCATTAATTGAATTATCACACATTCTTAATTTTATATACCAAAATGTAAAGTAATGCAAGTATTCTCTACAACTCTCTCTTAAAACTAAATTATTAATTAATGATGCATTAAAAAATGTTTAAATCTAATAAGTAAATATTGGAACTTGTACCTATTTTATGCTAACATTTTGGTTTTTGATTATTAATTTGGTAACTATGAGTAGTTAGTTATTTTTGTTTGGATAGGTTTCGTAACATTTTTTTTTTGTTTTTTTTTTTTACATTATTTCGTTATTTAGTAGTAGTTTTGGTAGTAGAAGTTGTTAGTTAGTAATGGTGATGGTGTTGCAAATTAATGCGTGACGTAGGATTTGGATGGCATGTAAAGAAATAAAATTCGTATAGTAAAATGGATGATATATTTACTTATATTCATTTATATAAGTTATATTAATTCTGAGTTATGTATGAAATAGCATAATTTTATTTATATGTGAGTATATACAAAAATACAATGCAAAATGAAAAATATGCAGAATAGTGTGTGATCAACGAAATGTGCACTGTGAACAGAACGGAATATGAAAGCAGGTGAGAAAGAAAATAAAAAAACAAGTGATTAATTAGATGGTTTAGTAAAAAGTAATCCATTATTTTTCCAATAGATGGCGTTATTTATCTTTACCTCGCGTCGTATAAGTCCGATCGGGTGCCGCTAAATGGCGTTAGACAGTTGACTTTTTGTACTAAAAAGATTTTCTGACAGTTTTATGATTGGTTGATTCAGTTTTGTTTGAGCGTACGTCAAAGATGGATAATAGCAAAGAGAAAATACGCTCTATGCCATGCGGCTGGATATGTGAATGGCGTTTATGGTGCTGATACAGTTACAGTCAATCATGCACAATTTCGGTTTCATTACGGTAATTTGATGTAAAAGATGCTTCACGGTGTGGAAGGCCGATTGTCGAAAATGTCGATCAATTCATGGACATTGTCGAATCCGACCGTCTCGAAAGCACTGTTTCGATTGCTCAAGAGCTCGAAATTGCACAAAAAACCGTTTGGAACCATTTCAATAAGGCTGGATACGAAAAGTAAAAATTAAAGCCTTCAATTTCATGTAAAAATAATGGATTCCTTTTTACTACACCTAATAAAATTATTTAATATATAGATCTAGTAAAAAGTAATCCATTATTTTTTGCATTAAATTGCAGCATTTTTTTTTTTTTGTTTGACATCTCTGTAAGTGATCCACTTGTCATCACCAGTCCTCATCTGCATCAAAAATTAGTCGATTTTCTTGCGACTCGCATATAAAAATTCGGCTCACGAGGCTTTTTATCGTTAACACGTGTGGCACCCTTAGAGCTTCAGTGATCATCCAGCCCTTTTCAAGTGGTGCCAAACTTGTTTTTTGTACAATGTCTAGCTACTAGGCAATCGAAACAGTGCTCGATTGATGATCAGACTTGATGATTTCCCTTATTTTATCAACATTTCCGCAATTGGCTTGCCGCGCTGTGGAGCAACTTTTATATCAAAATTACCTGAAGGAAATCGACGAAACTGAAATTTTACTTAATTGGCTGTTACAGTATCAGTACTATAAACACCATAAATGTTTTCAGCTGCCTGACATGCGTTTTCGTCTTCCTCGAAGAAAAATTGTAGAAATTAGCGGATACTCTCTTTCCTGGCGTCCATCTTTAAAGCACTTCCGAGTTAAGTGGTCAACACCTCTCTCATTATATTTTTTTTTTAGGACAAAATATCAACTTTCTAGCGTATTCCAATCGAACTTAAAGAACGCAAGATGCAGCATACCAAATCCATCTTTTGCAAAAATAATGGATTACCTTTTACTAGACCTAATATGAAGGAAAAGTATATGTACTAAATGTATAAATATTTGTATATATTTAGTATATATAATTAAATAGCTTTTAGTGAAATTGGCAATCAAAGAAAGCTATTCAGATACATTCGAAAAAGTTATTGGAAAATTCACATGGGGAGAGTATTTTTTTTTTCAACGAGAAATTACTTTTTATTTATTGTAAAGTGCATTAATATTTATGAACTTATCGAAAATTGTAAAAACATTTATTGTGTTAACTTAGTAGAGTCAAAACCAATTATAATAAATGCATTGGCACAAAAAAAATTTTTTGGGAATTGACACAAAATTGGAGCGATAGCGGAGTGAGAGCTTCTTTCGAACGATTGTACCAAATTTTCATATTCTTCGTAATACTGCAAAAATAATTAAAAAATTTTTGTTTGAAATATTTTTATTTATAAATATTTAGGGTAAAAAATAAAGCAATTCTTTTTTTTGTTTGGCCGGTGAGGAGAAGAAAAATGCCTTCCGCATCATCATTGTGTCGTCACTTCAATGTTATGTGCCACTTGCAGGTCACTAAAACCTCTCCTTTGAGGAGCCGTCGCCCATCCTCGAATCGCTTTCGCATTACTTCAAGTTGGCGTTTCATGTTTCTTGCAATTTAGTTATTTATATTTATACAGTGACACCATTTATGGGCGAACGCTCACCCATTAGGTAACTACTTTTTAATTCTTTATTAATTGAATCAAATTTATGGAGAAATTTTTGAGTTGACACCTGTTTAAAAATTCCTATTAAATATAAAACAAATATCAGACTGGGAGCAACAAATTAATAGGAATTTTGAAGGCTTAGAGTGGAAAACTTTTTGAGAATTTTCACTTTTTATAAATTTTTTGGTTTACTAAATGCCAAGAGCAAAAGAAGAAATGCTCAAATAATAAAAACTTCTTTGAAAATCTGGGAAGTTTGAGTGTTTTCATTTAAATAATTGATAACGTAAATAAAATAATAAAAATTTGAATCAAAATAGAAAAAATTTAAAAGGATTTTTAAGAGAGCTTTTCGAAAAATATAATTTGTGATCTTTTCAATCTTAAGCTGTTAAAATGCAGATGACGAAAAATCAATTCATCATAAAAATACATTAGCGAAACTTGATGGAGTTTTCCGTAGAAATGTTCAACAATTTCGGAGTGTTTTGCAGAATTTCTCAATTTTGTATCAATATTTGGTTAAATTTTATATACATATAAATTTGTATCCAATGAAGCGATTCTCAGTCAAGCTCCTACTCCACCAACTTGTGGTATGGGTGCACTGTGTTCTGCTTTCAGAAAGTTTGTTCTATAACAAATTAATCGACCCATACCCAATATGCTTTATGGTTTAATGCAGCACTGAAAAGGTTGAAAGATAAGAAGGCGAGATTATTCAAGCTATTTCAAAAGGAGGGGATTAACAAAAGTTCGACAGTTGGTGACTTTCAATTTGTTTTTGTCAAATCTCAAAATACCAAATTCCTTGCAATTACGTTATTAGTCTTCCTTTCAAATTTTAGAAAGATTGGAGACAAGCAAACGCAAGATAGCTGAGGATACGCCAGACGCCTTGTGTTTCTTGGTTATTTTTAAAAATTAAAAAAAAAAACGAGGAGATATTTAATGCGGTTAATGCCGAACTTGATAAGCTTAAAAAGCAAGATTTTGAAGACTGTGTTCAGAACTGGATCTATAGGCTCCGAGACTGCTCTGATATCAATGGCGATTATGTAGAGAAGATGAAGGAGGACAAAGATTATGAACAAATACAAATATCAGTAATATCTGCTGTTTCACAAGACCATCACTTTTGGCTGCTTACTCTTCCTTATATTCATCAATGAATGTGGTCCAAATACGGTTCTGCATTTTAAAACACTCATGTATGCAAATGATGTTCAGCTCTTTATATCAGTTCGTTCTATTGAATATAGAGAACTTTTGCATTATATAGATCAATAATTTATTATGTAGTCTGATGCGAGCTATATGTTCCTAAATTGTAATAAGTACAAACGTGTTACTCCAGAAAACCTTTCCAATCCAACAAGTTATCGACTTCATCGATTAAACAAAAAAAAAAAAAAAAAAAAAAAAAAAAAAAATTGGAGGAAAATATTGCTCATTCTAAGGCGCCTCCGAAAGGGAAAAGGAGAAGGAATTTATTTAATTATTTAAAGCACTCAGTTAGTAGGTTTTGATACAGAAAAGCGAGTCAGGGGAATCAATGTTGCTGAAAATGTGCATTAAAAACATTACACAAAGATTTAAAAGGGTCGTTCATTTCGAAGTTTGTTCTGCATGAACACAATGGAAGGGGCCCAAAGTGGTTAGATGAACTTCAAGGGATTAGTTAAGAAATAAGCGACATTCGAGATTTTCGCACTGCTTGGATGTCTGATTTTACACTTTGACTTTTGTAAGGTGACTGTTGAGTTCCAATAAAGCTCTGGGGTAGACTTGTGAAATTAAACATGAGTTCGAGTTTAATAAATTTTTAGTGAAAAAGCATATAAATCTTTAGAAAATAAATATAAAAAAATACCAAAAAAGAAATTAAGCTGAAAATGATTTAACCTCAAATTACTACTATTATTACTTTGAGCTAATATTAATATTATTCAAAATTAATTGTGATTTATAATAATTTTGTGGCTAAAACATTAAAGCTCAGAGCTACAGAATATATTTTCATCATGCTTAATGATATCTAATTTTTGTGTGAAAAATCTGAAAACTACAGGCAACTATGTATTGTGCTACGGCAGAGATATCAAAAATTAAATACTCTATAGATATATGTATGTACATACATTGACTAGACGTTGCAAAGTGGCCACATATGAATTTTCGCTATGCACAATTGCAGCCACAATGTGGCGCCGTTTCAGCTGCTGCTGCGACAGGCCTGGCGGTGCGGGCGGCAGCATTGGCGTGACGAGGCGGGTGTGCGCATTATGCGCAGTGCCATTGGCGCGACTACCGGGCGGCAACATTAGATCCAGATCGAAACGTGGTGCCGTCAGAGCGGCTTCTTCATCCTCATTCTGAAAATAAAAAAAAATTCTTAATTGCTTGCAACGAAAGATTTCGTTTGCTGCCTACTTACCTCTGGTACGCCTGGCATTTTGTTCGCATTTAATTTTTGTGGCGATGCATGCGTTGAATCGCCGCACCCTGATAGCGCCGCTGCATCTGGCATATCGATGCTAGAAGCGGTCGAGTGGCGACCATCACGTCCACCCACATCGTACTGATGCGATGAGCCCCTGCGTATCGAGAACCAGCGCGACAAACGGCCACCCGGCGATTCGCCCGGTGTGGTGATGTCGTCGCGTGCACTTTGATGTGCTGTCGGCATGGTGCAGGCGCTAGCACGGCGTGTTTGCGTGCTATGGCTATTGCTATCAGCTGCGCTGTTATTGCCCGCCAACACTGAATTTGTTGCGGAACTGGTGGATGTGTTGTTGGCAGCGTTTCCACTGTTCGATGAACTCGTACGCCATTTGTCAAAGGACAAATGCTGCTTGGCCTTGTTGAGTGTGGAACGCAATTGTGAATTGCGTTGATTGGTTGCGCTCAACGACGTCACGCTGCTGCGTTCACGCTCCCGTTCACGTTCGTCCTCCGTTGCGGCTTCTTCGTCGGAAGCTGTGTGTATACTGTTGGCGTTGGCCTCCTGATCTACCGATTGCTCAGAGCACCAACTATCCTCCGATTGTACAGAGCGCGTGGAGACGTTGTGCTCGAGGCGTTTCTTTGTTGCGTGTGAATTTGCAGTAGCGGCAGTTTGGCTGTGATTTACGGTATCTGTGGTTGTGGTTGCAGTTGCGTTGCTTACACCAACGGCCGCTGAGCCGCCGTTGGTGCTGATACTTCCGCCGGCAATTGTGTTGTTTGTATTTACAACTGAGGCGGTTGCGGAGTTTTCCGCCTCGTTGTTAATTGGCCTGCCGACGGTGCTGGCACTGCCACAGCTTTTACTATGCTGATGATGATGATGATGTAGCTGTTGCTGTTGTTGTTGCTGATATTGTTGCAGCGGTGCTGCAAGCGTGTTGGAATTCAATAGCGTTTGTAAGCTGTTGAATGAGCTGCGCGACGAGTTTAATTGGTCGGAACGATGCAGCGAAGTATTGGCCGCGTTATGATGCAATTGTGCCGTTGTAGTAGTCGTGGTGCTGCTGTTGTTGCTATCGCCGAGCGGTGATAGCTCCGAGCTGTTAATCTCAAGCGCAGGCAGGGAATTATCCCAAGAACTGGAATTCAATTTGGATTCATCTGTATGGAGAGAGAAGAAGAAGAAGGTAATTAGAAGGGATTTTTCAAAAATGGTCAGGAAAAACAAACGGAAATATAGTATAGTAGTTTTTAGGGTGACCATATTTCATAAATTGGCGAACTCAAGATTTTTTTTATTAGATGAGGAGAAAGCCTCATGATGCCACAATTGAATATTTAGCTTCGAAAACTAATGAAATCTGAAATGAAAACATCGAACGGATTTCGATAAACTAATGTATAATCTTGTGATTAATCGATGGAATAGCCAAAAAATTTTATTTGACAAAATGACGGCTTTAAAAAAAAATTCAATTATTCTCCATAATTTTGGTCTTGAATTGCGGATTAAAAAAAAAAACTTTTCATCAGTAATGGAAAAGCTGCGATTAAGTACTCGAAAATATTGTTCAAAAGCCTGTGTAAAAATTTGAGACTAATCGGTTTAGCCGTTCCCGAGAAATCTCGGTCACCGACTTGAAAAACATAGTTTTGAGAAAAACGAGGTTAAAGTTTCAAGAGCGCTTTCCAATGCTCTGACGCGTCGTTACAGATATGCCTGTAACTTCCAAAATAACAGTCGGATCGACTTGTAATTTTCAGAGTATTTACTTGAAGACATGTACATTACGAAAATGAAATTAAAAAAATCGATTGATGAATTTTGGGTATACTGGGGAATATTTTGAATTCTGAGTAAGCTTTCGAGGACTTCTTTCTATGCCGGATTAGGTCTTTTGATGGCCACAGAAATATCTATATAACATTATTCAACACGCTAGTAGGTTTTAATATGTGAAATTTGAGCCGTTGGGATCTCTCTTGGTGAAGATAATTATTTTTTCATAAAAATGAAATAAATTATTTTTTTTTTTACAAAAATAATTAATTTTTTTTTTCACAAAAATAAATAACAATTATTTTCTAAATTTTGATAACTTAGTAATTCTTCTTATATGGAGAAACATTCATCAGCTTCACTAACAGTCAAAAAACAATTATTTACATTTATGCACACAACGTAAAAAAAGAATAACAAATTTCAGAATGAATGTGCGAAGATTGGAAAGTGGAGAGTTGTGGGAATCATTTGATGATGAATAAAAGCAATTGAAAATAAATTTTCAAATAAAAATCCGGCACATCTAACACATTAATTCGACACGTTTCGTTTATCTCTAAGCATTTCTCAACGCCATTAAAATCCATTAGATCAGCAGGTACAGTAGTACATATGTATGCATGTATGTATCTTTCAGCAACTCAAGAGCAGGCAAGCAAGTGGACAAGTGGGCAAGTGGGCAAGTGAACATGCACATAAACTAGCACTCAAAGTAATGAGCATGTACGAGTACTTACTGTACTTACATATAACTAAAATACCTGCATATGTAGATATATGTATGCACAAAAACAATGTGTAATCCATACAATATTTATCGACTGTTACTATTTACCCAACGAACACAAATACGAAGGATTCACAGTGGTAGGTATTCAGGAAACGATCTCGATAAAATGCGTTTTCGTGTAAAAAAATATTTACCAAGGTTTGAGTCCTGGTTCGATCAACAACGGATATTATATAAAATTATTTTTCTAAAACGGTCGCCACTCAGCAGGGAATGTCAAGTCCGACAAGTGTAATTTGGTTATGAAAATCAATGTTCCTCATCAAATTCCATCGGCCGTTCGGAGGCGGCTTAGAATGAACTGTAAGCCTTCCGAATCAGAGGAGGAGCTCGGCTTAAGAATGCATATATACATATCCATATTGCGGCTTTAAAGGCATAGTTTTCTCCCAAGAATTTCTTTTAAAAAGTTTTAACCTTGACATTATATGTGAATCACTAGATCATGCAAATAATCGGCTTGCGAATTTTTACAAACTTCGATCCTTTTGAGGAAATTTTCGAGCACTTTCCGGGATATATTGGACGGTATTTTAGCCATAACATGACGAGTGTTGGTTTTCGAAATACCCGCATAAACACGGTATTTCTCGTAGCCCACAAAACTAAACTTTTTGTCAAATAATAAGAGCTCGGTACCCAATCTATATCACCAAGACGAAAAATTACGTGGCCAAGAATTTTCTATTGCCATAAAGCCAAATTCGAACATATTTTCCAAGGCTTCGAATTCATAGTGACAGTCTCGCCGTTGATCTTTTTCAAAGAAGTAAAGTCCAATTCAATCGTCGGTAGTAGCCGATTGGTTAGCATTGCGTACTGCCATTCGGAAGGCTCGGGTTTAAATTCCGCTGCCACCAACATCCAAAAGTTATAGAAAATTAATTTAAATAAAAAATTAAGTTAAATTACCTCATTGCGGTCAACACTGCCGAGTGTATTTCTGGCGTGAAATAAAGGCTCCTCATAAAAAACCATCAGCCGTTCGGAGGCGTTTTAGTATAAACTGTAGGTCCCTCCATTTGTTGGAAAAATATCAAGACACAAAACCACAATTTGGAGGGGGAGCTCGGCCGAAAATCGCTTGAGCGGTTACAAAGCGCCAATTTTATATATAAAGTCCAATCATACCTCCGCACCAAAGGGCGGAACAGACTGTGACATTTTTCTTGGGTATAATGAACGCTCTTCAATTATTTGAGCAATCTTGTAGAAGCACTGAATGCAACAATTTCGCTTATTTACGTATTCCCCGAGTGAGAAATGTGTCCTGTACGTATTTTGCACGAAAAATTACCGTCCACTGTTTATTTTTCAAGCGCCCAATTGACGTTTGTACGGTGTTTTGACTGGTCACATGCAGTCAGCTGCTGTGTGTGCTGGACTTTATAGGGATGTAGGTGTAAGTCCACTTTCAGACTACTATATAATGTGCCGTAAGAAAGTCTTAACTGTTGGGAACGTCGAGAGATAAATACATTCCGGTCTTTGGCTCCACTTACAGTAGCGATATTTGTGATGGAAAGTGCAAAATTATAGAAATATTTTCGTAAATTCTTTTCTAATCCCAGGCGATATCATCATCATCACAGTTATTAAACTGATCGTCCTTAATTTTGAAAATAATATCAGCTAAAGTAAATTTGTCTCAAATAGGATACGAATCAGTTGCGCTTATTGGGTATACCATTATTTGCAAGTAATCGAACAAAGTTTGTTTTGCCACTCGTTTCGATTGTTTGCGGTGCCATAAATGTTGGTGATTGCTTTTGAAAGTGTTCTTAAAGACCGCAGGCCGCCCACGCTCAGGCAAATTGTGCAACCACGAGCTGTAGTAGTAAAAGCAGTTGGTTTGCGAAATTTTATGTTTATTTTTTTATTTAAAATGCTGCGCAGATTCGCAAATATATACAAACAAGAATTAGCACTTTTTACAATATATATATTATATATATATTTATGACTTTATATTAGCAGTTATATTTGGTTGTGAGGTCGCTCCGGGCAGCCTAATTTCAAAGAGTTTGTTTTATGACCAATAACTGTGGGCATTAAATGTTATGAACTTTACGGTGTTCAATGCTTTCGGTTTGAGAATTGCACACACGCATGGATTTATTTATCTATTTATATCATATTTGTATATATGTATGTAAACGCGCATACCACCTGAGGGAATCGATATTCAATTGTAAATATTGAAATGATAAAACCATTGATACTTATTTATAGATGTAATCGTTGAGGCGGGTTGAAAGGAGAGGTTGAGCACCTGAACACAGTCATAGAGTAGCTACATTTTGCTCCCTCCTCAACCCAAGTGTACTTTTGCGAACATTTCGCTCGATTTAATAAACTGATTTAATTTCTCCCAACTATGGGCGCCCACCTCCGCAAGGTCGGCTGAAGGCAGAATACTGCATTGAAGCATTTATTTGTGAGATTCCGGCCGAAATGTTGGAAAGAGTATGCCAAAATCGTACTAATGGATGGACCATTTGATATCTATCTTATATTGGATGAGTGCATTAGTTCGTGCCCGATTCCGCTGGATGCCGTTCGAATCGCTTGAGAGTGGCGCTCGTGAAAGAAATATATACATATTACAATATATGTCAACAGCAATTTCTATGCTTCGACGGATCAAAAACGAACCTTTTTTGGATCCTGTACAACAATGTTCAATGCAAAAGAACATTGAAACAGGCACACGAAGGGGCGGAACCGATGGCAATGTTGTGCATTTGGTCGGATATCCGAAGCGTGATCTATTTTGAGCTCTTGCCAGCTGGAGAGACGATCACTGCCAACAAGTATTGTCAGCAATTGATCGAATTGAAGAAAACAATTGATGAAAAACGTCCGACTTTGGCCAATCGCAAAGGAGTTCTTTTCCATCATGACAACGCCAGGCCACATGTTGCAAAACTGACCCTAGCCATACTGAAGGAGATGAATTGGGGAATCATGCCGCATCCCCCATATTCACCCGACATTGCACCTTCTGATTATCATTTGTTTCGATCGCTGCAGAACAATTTGAATGGAAAAAAATGTAAAAATGTAGAAGTCGTCAAAAACCAGATTGACACCTTTTTCAACGAGAAACCGCGCGATTTCTATTAATCAGGCATCCGTAAATTGATTAAACGTTGGGAGTGGATTGCTGAACATGATGGCGAATACATAATTGATTAATAAAAGCGCTTTCTTCAAAAAATTTCAATTTTAGTTTGCACTTGAAATCGGGCACGAAGTTATGCACTCATCCAATATCTTTGTACTATCGATTCAAATAAAGATTTCATGCGATTTCCTAAATTTTATGTGTTTTTTTTTTGAAAAAACTTTCCTATAGCCCTTAAAAAATCACCCTTTGTATGCATTTTTGCAGTATTCAAAGTGTTTTTTTTTTTAAGTATAGTAGTTAATTGCATGTACAAACATACATACGTACTAGTATCATACATATTTGCAGCAAATGTTTTCGATTTTTCTAATTTGAATGTGGGCTTGAAAGAAATAGTAAATAGAATAATAATAATTATGAGTGGCTGAATCATTGAGTGAGTAATCAGATACTCTTGACTATGTAGTTGAGGTGAAAGCTTATAGAAAAAAATATATCCACGCGTTTCGCTTAACTGATTCATTCGCGTCAACAGAGGTATAAACCTACAAGCAAATAAAT